TTTTAGTTCTACGGACCAGAAGCTCCACCGAGTTTGTTGGGATCCAATGCGCCCCGAAAGATAAATTTCAGGATGTCAAGCTAGAGGACCATAACTTGAGCGCCGTATCGGCCTCGAATGTGTGCAGCACTTCGAAAGCTGGCCCAATATCCGCCACGAAAACAAAAGCAACGACAACTTTCCGACAAATTCAGAATAGTGACGCGTGGCATTGTAAGGTATGTTTTCCAGAAGGTGAACTTTGCTTGGGTCTTGGAACATTACATGAAATTGCACATGTGATTGCCCCATGAACATAATTGTTTCCCACCCACATTGGATAAACAGAAACAAAGTGACAATTACAGCTATGAAATGAAAGCCCTGGAAAACCCGGGGAATGCTGCCGGCAAATGACAAAACATTTTTGGGACGCGTGGCATAGAAAAAACCATATGTATCCCTCGGATGTGGCAACAAAACCGGCAATAACAAAAACAATGTGTCCATTAAGGTGTTTGTGGGGGCTGCTATGTGCGCACTCGCATCGTTCAATGGTGGTGATTGAATTTCAACCATCACTCTTACAAAGAAACCTTTTGTTCCCAGTAATGCCGTGCAAAAAACAGAGTGCATTCGGAAATGTCAGGACTTGCTAGGAAACACTGCTTAAATCGGGATTACGGTTTTCATCTTCCAGCACCTTGCATGGTCATGCGTGCTGGAACTCTACTTTTTTTGATTTCAAATGGATAAAGTTGGAGTCCTTTTTGGAATGCACCCAACAGAACTCGGAGAAACACTGGCACAAAGTTAAAACCTAGGCGGCTCCTTTCAAGCAACAAAAGAAACAACGCCGAAACATTCTGTATTTCCAGCCGAAGTCAAGCTGCCAGGAACTACATGCCAAGCCACGCGTGTTTTTCCGCCAGACTTACCACCATAAAGTTGCAGGCATGTTTGCCTTTCAATCTTGCGTTCAAGGCATGCTGCCTTAAACTTTCTGAGCAATCCTAGGTTGCCTCAAAATCGTTAAAAACTTTTGGCTGATCAAACAAATAGATCACTGTCGCTTCCGCTTGTGGGCTGGACTGTGGTGACCCTGAACAAATTCGAATGCTTTGTGCGTCACTGTTTGGTGGAGAAGAAGGGCACTTGCCAAATTGTCACAACGCTCTCGCAGCAAGGCTAACTCTTGCTCTAACTTTTCCACTCGCTCAGCAAGGTCATGCTCCAAGGGCCTTGCCGGCAGAAGCAACACTAAAAGTCACTGAATCAAAATTGTTTCTGGCCCCAACCGATGAGTTGCTACAGCTCTTAGAAAATCACCTCGGGTCCGTTGCCAAGCAATGTCAAACCCTTATGATTTAAACGGCAAGCTTCAGATGCGCTTGAAACTTTGTTCTAAAAATGATAACAATTTACAATTGGCAAAAAAAACAGCTTGCGCATCCCGGCATAATCGCACCACTAAATCAGCTACCGCTGCCCAACATGCAGTGTTGACACAAAAATGGCATTCAAACAAAAGTTGGAACGGCCGGCTTTTTTCCAATGTCTGCCAAACAGGTGGTGTACCATGCTAAGGAATTGAGACAGCTCAAAAGCTTCCGTCATACATGTAAATCAGTGGCGTAAGGAGCCGACCATTCTCCGACCGTCTGCGGAAATGAGGACATGGGTGCAACAGAATGTGTCCAGCAAAATGGCTTTCACCGATTCAAAAAAGGATTTCAAGTCAGCATCGGTGAGTTGCAACAGCAGCAACTCCAGAGCGGCCAAAGCACCCTTGAGGTCGACATAGAAACTTTGGATGGAAGCCATCCTCTCTGACTCGAAGAAGGTCTCAACAAGCTCTAAGATTGAGGCCGTGCGCGAATTCACCACGTCACACTCGACATCCTCCATGAATACCAAGCTGCCACGGCCCACACTCAGCCGCACACTGGTGAGGAGCAAGTGCATCTGCGCCATGTCTGCGTGTCGCCAATTGCTGGCGAAAATTTTTTGGCTGCGCAGGCATGCTTCACGGATTTGCTCCAAGCCATGGTCCACAAAGTGTCCCAGCTTGGCCGGGTCTGGGAAAACGCCGGTCAGAACTGCCATGAGCTTGCTTAAAAGCAGCTCCCAGGCATGCTGCGCCATGCAGCTTTGGAAATTCTCTTGTCACCAAACTGGGCAGGTGGGTCAAACGATTCTTTGGAAACTACAATCTTAAGCCGGTTCCGTCTCAGCAGAAACCCTGGCGTGAAAACACACCATCACAAAATTGCAAACGACTGCCGCATGACAAAACAGCAAGAAGTGGTAAATCCGCCTAAGCCAAGTGTTTGGCATAAACGCGTGGTACTTGGCTTGTTCTTGTGACAATGTGTCTTGGGCGGGTACTAGTTTGGAATGCTGCGCGTGTCGCTTTGCTCTTGGAGGGCGGGAGCTGTAGTACTACTATGGATAATGTTTTTGGAAGCTAAACGTGAAAAAAGAGGCGGCGTCAGAATACATGTTTATAATGAAGAGGTGTCCTTTACTTATCACCAAAACTGTCAATTAGTAGCTGCAGGGCAATGTTTGTGGCGTCATATCTGGAAAGCTGTTTTGGATTGCTTCGACCATATGTGGAATGCTCTGAGCAAGCGTGTCATGTGTCTGTGTGTGCGCGTGTGGCTGTTTCGGGTGCGCTTCATGAAAGCCAAAATTTGCGGTCGGTGTGCGCTGATTATCGGACATGGCGCGCTTACGACGGTGATGCGTAGCATGTCGCCCATTTTGTGGTTTTGAGCCCCCAGGAAGTAAGCATATGCACGGTGTCTGTTTGGAATAAGCTGCGCTTCCAACTACCGGTTGCTGCTTCCCATAGTGCGGCGTTCTTTGCACAAGGGGATCTTCAAATCCATAAGAAAGTTTCTTCATGTTGCTTCGAAATGCTCTCCTCAAACAGTCCACATTGCTATACGCGGTCTTTTTGCGCGAAATGTCTTCAAGATTTGGTTTCGCGATTTTGGCAAAGCATGAAGCAAAGGCAGCAGCTTCAAAATCAGTCTACGCACTGATTATAACCATGGAACTTGACAAGCAAAGTGATCATGAAGAAAAATCACTGCATTGTTTTCGCATCTTCTACCTGCTTAGGCATGCTGCTCAGGGAGGGGCTGTTCGAAGAAAGGTCGGGCATTCTTTGGCGAAGCCAAGCTGAACAAATTTGATGTGACGCCTTAAGCTCTTCAGAACAGTGGACACAGGTTCAGCAGTTTAATGACACCAAGTTGGTGAGACAACATCTTTGAAACATGCGAACAAAAACCACTGCAAGTCATGACCAAATTTCAGTGGCAACTTCCAAATGTACGTTTCGGTGCGCCAACAAATCAATATATACATCCGCTGCTGAACAACTGTACCAGTGCAAAGTTCTGGAAGATGCTTAAGTTCCTGATATCTGACTCACTGGCCGGCACCAAACTGAAGTGTTGAAAATTGACACAAATGACAGGACTGCACCCGGTGGTTTCAACACGCTGCTTCTTGCAAAATATTCAGCTTTCCGTCATTGTGTGTGGATCAATCATAAAAATCTTTGCACACTGGAGTAAAGATGTCTCGTCTAGCCACTTGCCATGGCAAATTTAGTTATGTCCTAAAAAGAGGTGGCGAAAATAAAGCTACAAATTGCAATTCTTGGTTGTTAATCTCACCCAGACCCTGCGCTTGAATGCCGGCTTCGAAAATGTTTCTTTCACTTCAAGTTGATCTGGTCAAAACTCGCGTGCTGCGACAAGTGCGGGGCTAGCAACCTAAACTGACGAGGCTCCACCACAAGAACATGACGGTATGTTTTGGAACAAGCTATCATGACACGTGCACAGGAGCGTGCACTCTAAATGAAGCCTCCACAGGTTGAAAACGTCTAGCGCACTGTCACCAGACTGCTGAAAATGAGACCTTGCAGTCTCCATCTCATTTCAAAATAGTTTTAGAGACACGCTTTTTCTCCGGCGGTGTCTTCTCCAAAGCGCCCTTCTTCTGCTTGCAAATGTCCTCGCGCTTTGGCACGTCAACCTGACGAGTCTGCAGCCAGTTGAACATATTCTGAGTCACTCGACCAGGGTAGATCTTTTTGCCCTCCATCATCCATGTGATGTTGGCCTGCTCTGCTTCAGACAAGTTCTTCTTGATCCAAGCCAGTTTGGAAGGAGCTCGGGAAAAAACTTCACACACACGGTCACCCCACTGGAACGTCAGCTGCCCCAAATGCTCACCACTGATGGGGCTGACTCCATGCAACTCTGGGCCTGACTTCTTGCCTTTGTACTTGACACTCAAATCCACCAGGCACTCACCAACTGGCTTGAAAACCATCTGGACACCGTGGCGCACCGACTCGTACCGCACAGCTGTGGGCAAAGCCATGTGGTACTCCATGAGCTTCAGCTTGTACCAACTGAATCCATCTTCTGAAAACAGCAGCTCACGGCCCTTCAGGTTCTCTGGGTTTTTGCAACTATTGAGGTAGTTCAGGTGCAAACGCACTCGGGCAGCGGTGCTCGGCTTGGACTTGACCCAGTCATTTGGAGCCAAATCTTTCAGCACATCATCGAGTGGCTTCTGCTGCAGCTTGGCGGTCAAGAAGGCGTGCTGGACGGACGTCATGGCACTGACTTGAAGCAGAAGCCAGCGGAGCTAAACGTTAAAAGGCTAGTGAACAAAAAAATTGCACATCACACTCAGGATGCAAAAATCAACGCGACATCAAAAACCACTCGAATGCGGCTCTCTGCAGACAGAAGAAGACAGTACCGGTATGGTTTGTCTAAGCGAAAAATACCTATCTCTGATTTGTGTTCAATTTGAAGCGACTGCGATTCTCACCAAAGATGCCCACAAATGGCAATATCTCAGCTACATGAGCTGCTGCTGCGCTTTTCTTTTTATCCTTTCCAGTGCATCTCGTCCTTATTGCGCAGCATTGCAACATGCGCATCATAGCAAAGCTCTTGGTGGACAAATGCTTCTCAACGGTGAACTCAAGCAGATAGCTTCGCCATCTTCTCTTTGACTTGGGCAGGCATGTCACAACCGGTCTCTTCACGAGACCATTCCCACGCCTGCGCAACTGCAGCTCGTGCAGCAGCAACGGCGCCAACGGCGGTCCAGCTGATGCTTTTTTGTTTGAAACTGGTTTTTTCCCAGCAGATTTTCCATCTGCCATTCGCCTCGTCGGTGAAAACTTTCACTTTCTCCGGGACATTCTGCCGCACGGCCTTGTCCACGTGCTCTTTGAGTGTGTCATAGGTCCGCTTCTGCTCCTTGGGGCCAGCAGCACTGGATGCGGCTGGTTCTTTTTTTGCTTTTTCCTTGGCCTTAGCCTCCTTCAATTTCTCCATTGGAATCGTTTCCTTGACAGTCCAAAAGGCCTTTGTTGCGGCCTTAATTTTCTTTTCGACTTTTTCGGCTGAAGCTGCAGCAGACACAGCCTTGACATGGGATAAGACTTTGTCCACTTCTCCCCCTAGGACGGTATCTTTTACCATTTCGTCTAGACATTCTTCCGCCCCAAACACTGCTGAAACAGGACTTTTTTGTCTGCTGACCATTTTGGTCACCACTTCCTTTTCGGTGAGCAAGGGGTTGACGTTCAACATGATGTTGGTGGCCAAAGAAATCTCATCAGGGACATCCTGTCCACACGACGAAGGCTCTGGAATGCCAAGGTCCTTCATGAACCTTCGCAATGCCACCTCTCTCAATCCAGCGAAACCGTCCTGCATGTGAAAATCCAAGAGCGAAGATGCCGGCTGACCCATCATGGTGATGCCGCAGTTTGCCTTCTTGAATTTCTGAAACATGTAAAGTGGGGACATAGCTTCCAGCCTAACAGCTTTGACGTTGTTCACATCGAAGACGAAAAGCCACTGAAGCTCCGAGATTTGCATGTTGAGGGAAATGCCCAAGGAAGATGAGGCTGCTGGCCAACACAGCGCCGCATGATCGTAGACGCGGATGACGTAGTACAAGGAGCCTCCCATGGAAACACAATGCCCCTCGGGCAAGAAGGACGCCCGGTAGGCTGTTTCGACCTTCGACCAGTCTCCATCTCCGCTGTGAATGTAGTCAAGCAAGGCCAAGTTGGCAAAGATCTGCTGCTGCGATTCCGGACTGAAAGTTGGCCAGGTTGCCTGACCGGTCACTTCCTTGAGTTTCTTGCAAAAATCCAACTCAGCCTGGGTATCATCTGAAGAAGCTTTCAGCGGCGCATGAAATAGCGCTGTCTCGTCAAAGCCAACCGGGAGGAAAACAAAATTGGTAGCTGAAATCTCCTTGCGGTCATATGACTTCAGGAGGCTGTGCTGGGTGCCCACTCTCCAAGCCTCCATTTTTGAAATGTGTTTCGAGGAGGCGGTTCTTGTCTCGTGTTCCCTTTGCAGCTTCTGCAAATCTTCCACTGACTTGCTATTCAGCAGAGATGACCAAAGGTCAAGAAGGAAGTGCTGGACGTGTGGCGGAACGTGTTGAAAATCTTCTTTGGCAAGTGCCCGCAGCGTCCACCGCATTGCAGGACTGGAGCTGCCCTGGCCATGCAACAGCTGCTTTGTTGCCAAGCTGCCGTTGGTGGAAGCTGCTTCTGTTGCCTCGTAGATTCGCTTCAGCAACTGCAAGCCACGTTCAACTTTCTCCTCCTCAGCTTTCAAGAGTATGGCACTCAAACCAGGCAGGCTCCAAGTGTGCCAAAGCATGGAACCGCACCGGAACTTCAGCAAACTCCTCATGCAACTGAAAACAGTGGAAGCCGTTGAATTGTCAATCGCAACTTCGTCTTGGTTGATGCCACTCATCAAAAGAGACATGTTGAAGCCAATGCGTCGAAGCTTTCGCTGGTCCTTCAAAACCAAAACCATGGCCTTCAACTCTTCCAAAAAAGACCAATCAGCCCAAGCAGCATACTGCTCCCGAGTGGCAACCTCCCCTCTCAAACGGTGCAGCATCAAACCAGAGGCTTCAGCTTCTGGCTCTTGGAGGAAGGCCAAGATCCTGCAGAAACACTTGGATTCTGGATCATTCAAATAGCGGGTCATTGCATGAAAGGTGTTCACCGACTTCCCCCTCATCTTCTCCAGCGCCTCTTTGGCCTCGTTTTTTGCATCTTGTTTGCTTGTCCCCTTTGAAGCGGAGGCACCAGCAGAAGAAGTGCCATGACCACTACCAAAAGCCAAGCCACTCCCTTGGCTGCCAGATTGGCATGGATCGGGATCCCACAATTGGTCAGCATAGGCAACCCAACCCTGCAACAGGCACGTCATGGTGAACAAAAAAGTTTGCGCACTCCAGTGCTTCTCCACAAACAAAGCTGCTTGCGTGACAGAATTGAATCGGGAGAGTGAGGCCTTGGCCCCTTTGGATGTGACAAAAGCTTGCGTCGGCAAATCGCGCAAGAACTGCGCTCGACGGCTTTCAGTGTTGGCATGCCAAGGCTCATCGTTGTCCAGCAAGATCGAGGGCATGTAGTACTTCAGCACTGGATCATTCGGAGACAAATCACGGGAAATCTTCTCAGCAGTCTCTTTGATAAGCGTATGCCACCCTCCTTTCAAGTAGGGCCCAAATTTGATATTGAAAAGGTTGAGACTCATGGAACAGCTGGCCAGCAGGCCGCTTTCCGCAAGGCCCAAGGTGGCATCATTGCTTCGACGGTGCTGTGGGTCGTACACGTGCTCACACATCAAATTCAAATGCCACTTCATGAAGTTGGTCGCTGCGATCTGCAGAGCTTCTTGGTCCGTGCAAAGGGTAAGCAGAGCTGGTGGAGCATCTTCAGGAATGCTGTCTTCCATAGCCACAAATTCACGAAGGGGACGCCCCAATTGTTCCAGGCAATGCCTCACATCGTGAATCCAATGCAAGGTTGGCAATCTAGGAACGCTTGGCTTCGTCTTTCCATTCAAGCGTCTTCTCTTGGCATCAGGCTGCTCGCCTGCAAGAGGTGGGTTCATGAACTTCTCAGTCTGTCCTGCTAAAGCTTCAGGACCTTGCTGGAGTCCCGTCACGGCATTCACTTGACGGGTCACCTGCAATCAAGCCGCCAGCAGGGAAGTGGCTAGTTGACAGATCTTTGCTCCAGTGGATCTTTATTTTCACTGAAAAAGAAGGGCCTAAAATGCTTCCATCTGTGTAATCGTACTAATGAGGTCAGAAACAGGAAAACTGAAGGCCAATGCATCTGGAACATCTGCTGCGGCGGCCGATTTTGACCTATGAAAAATTATGCGTCCAAAATACACCCCGGGGCAATCAAAAACCAACACCGGGATGCGGGCAAACAACCTTTGAAAAATTATGGATCTACAACCTTTGAAAAATTATGAGATGCGCACAATTAAAAATAGTATTGCGCATTGTTTTTTTCGGCCTGAAACCCTTTGACCTTTGAAAAATTATGCGTCGCCATACGTTGGTTTTGGGAACCCCCGATCTCATTTTCTGGCACAATCCGGGTCAAAAAAACATATGACAAGTGAGGAAAAAAATGTTGGCTCTGCGCAACGCGTTTCTGAGGAACAAATTAAGCCAGCGTCCATTGTCCAAAACTTCGCTGCTCAAATCACTAATTAAAAAACATACGCAGCTCCTGCCCAAAAAAAAACGCCCACGCCTGCGGAGGGCATATGAAACCCTGCTTGGTCTTGCAGTCCCACGCAATCAGGTTCAAAATGGGATCTCCCAGCTGCACACCGTCAATGGTCAAAGAAATGGAATCGCCAGCTGAGAAAATTTGCTTTGCCTCTTGCAAATAAGAATATCGCTCATGATGAACATAATCACTGCCTCGCTGTTTGCCACTGGAACCCGGCATGCCAGCAAGCACCGTGGACACACTTCTCAAATGGCACTGCTGAGTGCGGCCAACCACGGCTGCCTTCATCTGGCCAGAAATTCTGCGGTATTGTCTGGCCGTCCTGCCCAGGGAGCAAGGTCTAGGCATCAGAGCCCTCTCAAATAATTGCCTTTCAAAACAAATTGAAAATAAAAAACGGCATCTACCTTTTCATCTTTGTTCTTCCAAATGGGTGCCGCATCTGACTGGTATGTTTGAGCTGATCCTTCAAGTCTGGGATAGTCTAGGCTGGAAAAGAACATGGGTCACATGAATGCCAGCCAAACCTCCCAGCAACGAAAACACATGTGAAAATGATTCCTACGCACTTTCTGGTCTAACTTTGTAACCTTATTTTGTTCGTGACATTCCAACTCTGTGCTGATATGACCAAAAGGAAGACCCACCAAAATACGATATCGACCCGCAGCAAGGCGCCTCAGCGGCTGCAATTGCCACAACTCAGTCTGCTGCCAGATTGGATCTTGTTTGGAACCTTCTATCACAAGCATCAGCGCCCAAGTGACAACAGCCAAGCCTAAGGTGGCAGCCCTTCTCCGGTTCTGCGAGCATCTGGTGTTGATTTCCTCCTGACAGAGACGCAGAAGAGCTTCATGTAATGGCACTTCGCTGTCATCTGGACCAAAAACACGGAGCAACAACTTCGTCTTGGCGACAGAGCAAAAAGCTGGCCAATCAAGAAACACTTCTGCATCCCTCCGCAAAAGAATCACTTTGATTCCTGCAATCTCCATCGCAAGATCTGCAGCGACAAATGTGTCAATGAGGAGCATGACCAAAGAGACTGCGCGTGACTGAACTTGGCCAGCATCCAATTTCCATTGGGAGCGCTTGTGCGTGCCACGCGCAGACCAATGGGCCAACATCACCAAAATTGCAAAGGTACTGCCTGAATATTCTGTCATTTGGATGTTCCCGGTTGGTGCCTCGCCTTCCCTGGGCGATTGTCGCAGCTTTGAGTTCCCTGATTCCAAAAAGTGGCTTCGGCAAGTTTGTTGAAGTTCCTCCTCTTCATCCAAGCCATCCACCACAAAAACTAGGTAGGCAGCAAGTTTGGTGGCCCACGACTTCGCACCTTGCCCAATGAAATTGCTGCTTTGGTGGCCACCCAGCCAATCAACTAACCACCGGATGTGCCAAAAAATGCAACAGCAGGAGCGATTGGGACACTTGTGAGCCTGCAGTTCACAAGTGAAAACACTTTGGCTCTTCTTCAAAGACAAAGCCAGTGGAACTGTTACCTTCACAGCATCGCTCCAGGCAGTGCGAGAATCATCGGCCAAGTCGATCAAATCGTCTTCATCTTTTTGAAGTTGCAACCAATGAAACACTGAGGTGACAGACTGCGAGCCAGACTGGTCCACGTGTTGCAACACTGGTCCCGTATCATCTGAACATGTCAAGGTCACCTTTGACCAGTCTTGTGACTCCTCCACTGTGCAAACTTCTCCTGTCTCCACATTGTGAAGCAGAAGGGTGCGAGAGTTCCGGGTGAGCCGCAGGCTCAAAGAAGTCTGAACCTGGAAGGGTTCACCATCTCCTACTTGCATTGGAAAAGCTGTGGATCAAGCAGGCAAGTCAAACCTAACCAGATGGAAAGTTGGTCGAAAACTGGGTCACAAATATACATCCTACCACAATGTCCCAAGGCATGTGCACCACTTCAAAAAAACTGACTGTTTTGCATGCTGTTGCTTTTCTGCCTTTCCCACTACAAGCCACAAACTAGTGATTATCATATTCATCTTGAGCCTGTGCATATCGAAAAAGGCCATGGCTCCAAGCCAGCTTCACAAACCAAAAAAAAACAAAGTGCGAAGACAGCAAGGTTCTGACGTTCTACCCATGTTTCTTTGGTTCTGATTTGTCTCAAGCAAAACAAACAGTAAAATGCAATTCGTCCCTCCACACTTTGGCATGGCTGCTTCACCAAACAAACCGCCTATTTTGCTACGAGTCGAGACGCTGACAGATGCAGCGCACAAACTCCAAGATGAGATGCACACGGCAACACGCCGATCATTCTTGTCTCAATAATTCTCAGGAGTCAGGTTTGAAACCAATTGGCAACTCAGAAATGTACGTGTAGGCGTCACTGAAGCTCAGGCGCCAAAGCTGGGACTGCAATGCCTCGCTCTCGCATCACTCCCACTAAAATGCTCAGCAAAAAGAACGGGATTTCCTCATCCAAAGACTCTGGTGGCCACAGTAGCAATTGGGAATCTGCCATGTCATCAAGAACAAAGAATGAAGCGTCTTCCAGAAGCTCTGGGAAATCCCGAGCACGGAAGCCGCTAGGCTTGCAATCGTCGGAGGTTCTCTGGGCAGCTGCTGCCATGGGTCCTCTAAATCACAAGGCCACGCCTATTGGAAAAACTCCTGGATCAAAATGAAACTGAAAATATTGCGGACATCAAACTTTGTGAGGAGATGCAACAGAAACAGGAAGCTTGATCAATGGAAAATTGAAGGAACGGGTTCTGCTTTTCTAATCTGCATCGCACACAGGTGACCATGCAGGAATTTTTTCAGATCAACTGGAAACACAAGCCAAGCGCTGCACTAGCAAATGCGCATACCCCAATGCCACAGCCACGGCCACGGCGCTTTTGCCAACGTGTTGTTGCCAACGCAAGATCAACATGGAGTGCAGCACATGTCGCCCCTGCAAGTCTCTGAGCTTGCGCCCAAACATATGTTCTAGGCACTCCATTCGCTGAAGGTGAAAAAAGAGCTATCCAATTTGGATCCTAAATCTCAACATGGCACACAGAACTCAAAATCAGGGCCTTTCAGACGCCTGCTGACTGACTGCAAAAGACATAGCCTTTTTGGCTGGCGAGGACATTGAAGATGCCTGAGCACTCTTGGGCATGAACAGGTCGGCGTCATAGTTCCAACGATTGGTGTCCACCGTGGAAAGGTCCCCAAAGAAGGAGCTGCACTTGAAGACCACAGCCGGGTCCTGGACACACTGGGCCTCGCAATTTGGGTCGTAGACATTGGACAATTCCCATTTCGTGTCGCCCCCTCGGATCTCAGGCAGCCGGGCTTGAAGATTCAAGAAATCGCAGTGCAACAAAGACCCGCAGGCCTCATCCAGGTGGAAAAACGTCAGGTTCTCTTTCTTCCCAAAGTCAAGCGCAACATCCTGGAGCCGATTGCCTCCCAAGTGCTCCACCCTGCACTTCGCAAAGGCTTCCAAGACCTGGTACTTGCGAATCTCAGGGTGCTTTGGCAAAGGCGTCCGCTCATCCATGTGGAACAAGTATTTCATGACCAAGTCCAGCCATGGGCCCCCAGCATCTTGCTCATCCTCCATGTTCAATTTCACGAATGGCCGGATCATGCGCAACTTCGCCTCAAGGGGCAGGCCCAAGATCTTGTAGATCTTCCCTTTCCAGCTCCCGCCCTGCTCGCCTGCATCAACCTCAATCTCTGGAAGCAAGGTGCCTGTCTCCAAGAGCTGCTTCATAGCCCCAGAGCGAAACAAGGCAGCAAGACGTGGAATCCATGGGTCATTCTCTGAAATCATCTTCAAAACGAACTGGCGATCTTCCTGGATAGTCCTCTCAAAGAAGGTGTTCATGGCTTTCTGAAAGTGCCCGCTCACTCTGGATTCCTTTTTCGCTTGGTGTTTCTGCTCATTTTGGGTCTTCTTGTCAAGTGCCTTCACCAATTTGCTCTTGGTCTTCGAAGCGGTGGCAGCAGCTCTAGCAGCTGCACGAGCACCCTGGCGTTTGGGAGCCATCGCTGTGGGGAACAGCGCAGTTCGAAGGTTCAATTGGAAGCTGCAGGGCTCTTCTAAAAAGCCACAAAATGGAGCGGCTTTCCAAGCAAAAGTCAACAACTAGTGTCCGCTGAGAAGATTGCATCTCACACCCTTGCAGCATGCTTTGAATACTCAAAAATGTCACTTCCAACCCAAGTCTCATTCTGATTTCTTGCCGACAGCTGTGTGCATATAGAAAAATGCTTTGGTGTCTCTTCTGTGCCCTTTCCAGGAGATCTGCTGAAAATCATTACGCGCGGGGACCAACAGTTAGAATATGAAAAGTTGACTCAATGCAAGTAGTAGAACATATCATTTTTGCCGGGTATATGTTTTTCACCGCCCCCAGGCCCTACCGTTTTTTCCAACGTAGACTGCTTCAAGCCCATATTTTTTCCCTAGGATGACTTTTGAAGCCCGGAAATGGATTAGTATGGCGACATCAATAGAATCCCTGTCTTTGCTAGTAAGACGGCGTTGTTCAATCTTTCCCGCATTGGTTGAGCAGCATCATTGCTGTGGAGCTCTTGGATCATAGGGCAATTTTCATTATGACAGTGTGAGGTGGCCAGCATGATGCTGGGGTTGGGCGGTTGACACAATTTTTTTTGCAGTTGAAAGACTTCCCTGCTGTAGCCGTTTCATAGCCCCCAACACACTTGACCCAAAAGGCACAACAAAAACAGAATTCAAATGTGTCCCCACGTGTCTTTTGTTCCAGAGTTTCTTGTTGAAAATGCACTGTATCACGTTTAGCTAAAAGCAACATGACCAGACAGGACAACCCAAAAAGGTCGAAACATCACCAGAGCATTTCAACTCAGAAGCTCGAGTAAAGTGGAAAACAAAAGTCTTATTCAAAATCAGGAAGCGGAAATAAGAACCTTATTTCCGCTTTTTCAATCAGACAGGACAACCCAAAAAGGTCGAAACATCAACAGAGCATTTCACCTCAGAAGCTCGAGTTAAATTGGAAAACAAAATCGCGAAAAACACTCGGAGAACAAAACTGCATGGTTCAAGGTGGCCTATAACCCCAGAGGTTTCGCCACACGAAACATAAGCTAAACCAAAGACATGATCACACCCGATCGGCCTGGGGAACAAACCAAAACAAAGCAAGGGACGCGAGGCGCAACAGAGAGGAGAGCGCGAGCAAGAGAGCACGCTGAGGAGCGAGACAATGAAACGCAAAGAGCAGGCGGTGATGGTTGCAACATATTGCAACCACACAAACATTCGTCTGTTCTCAGATAAAGCATTATCTACTAAACTAGAACATGGCTTATCATTCAAACAAAGCACATCCAAACAGAAGCTTTCTCAGTGTGCATCTGCGACATAGATGTCCCTTACCAAGCCTGGAAGACGGCTTTTCAGCCTCCATTTTTCTCCACTCAGCGGGCCTCGACAATTTTAACTGGAAACGGGAGGAAACATGACATGAGTTCGGAATTCACAGCACGTAAAACAAGACGCTGTCTTTTTTTGGGCTCTGGTGATGAAAAAAATGCCAAAACAGATTCAGCAGAATTTTGGCTCACCCATCTCAAACCAACCCCCCCCCCCAAATTTATTTTGGCCCACCCAGCGGGGAGGATTGAAATCTGTTTGTTTTCATGCATTTCTACCCTTTTGAAAGATGCTGGCACGAATGAATTCGCAGCATGTATGTTCAGCGAAAAACTGTCAGAAAGAAACGAACAAACAACGCCGATGGATGAAGAATCAGTTTGTTTTTTGGATAACTTTGTGCATTTGTGACGCACTGTGTGATGCGAAAAACACATATTTTTTTTGACTAGATGCGACCAAGGATGCCTCGCAGCAGCTTCAAATCAAATACCGAGCCCAGGCGACTGATAGAAAAATCCCTTGTTCGAAAGCGCCTTGTGCTCAATGACAAGTCCTTGGATCAAAACGCGGCACGCTGCGGACATGGAAACACTGGTGCACCACCTTGACATATATGTCAGCGCCAAAGAAAACTTTGCGTCAATGCCTCTATACTTCATGAATGTTTTTTGGCAGAACAAACACAAAACAGAAACCCAACTCACATGACAAGGACGGCATCCCTGCCAACGCATTTTTCAATTTTGAATCCAGGAACCCCCTGCGCAGAGCCACACTATTTATTGCAGAACTCTGCCAAGCAGTCACTGTCCAGAAATGCCGCTGCCAATCCTTGGATGGGCAATGTTGCAAACAAATCTCAACTGTGGTTCCCTTTTTCCGGACAAACACAGTTTGCACAGATCATTGGATCCCAACTTGTTTTTACTGTAGGTTGCTATCAATAAAAACAATCACGCATCAAGAACAAACATAGCTGGGGGACTCTAAGTTAAAAGTTAAACAAACTGCTCATGCCATGTTTCCCCAGGTTGCGAAGCCATTCCTTAAAGCCCCTATTGTGAGATTCCGTGACCCAACCAAACAGTCCAGGTGCACACAATCCTTCCCTATGTAGTTTCAAACATGAAACGCTGGGCTACAGCACACCCGAGACCAGTGTCTGCAACAAAGTTTGAACAGAAAAACTATTTTTTTTTGGCTTAGTACTCAAAGTTCATATCCTTGGGGCCTAGAAGGGGACATGAACCAGGAAGTGAAATATCAATGTATTTAGATGTTTGTTTTGGCATCGGCTGCTCCATCCACACTTCAAGAACCACTGTGAAAAAAGGACAGCATGGAAACGCCAGAATTTCAACCAAAAAAGACTTGAACACCAACAAAACCAATTAATGCACATGGGTCCAAAATATTGGTCCGGAAGGTTGCACTGAAACCTTGGCCGTATACGAGTCAGTGATCTCAAAACGACAGCCATAGTAATCCTTCTGACTCTCCCGGACTTTTAAGATAGGTAGAAGTGATCCAACATGCTCCACTGTGACCCCCTTTGCAAAAAAATGCGTATTTACAGATCCCCTTCTCTCTCCCTCCCTCTCTCTCTCTTGTTTTCTCCTTGCCATACTGTTTTGTTTGAAAAAAATGCCCGGCACAAAGCTCCACAAACACAATGGCACTTAAATTCCCGCACCATCTCTCATGTGCAGGCCAAGACCACGTAGCACAGGTTATTGTGGAGTCTCACAAGCAGTCTCCAGAGGCCAAACTCACCAACAGCAGGACCCCATGGCCCAGCAAAAGGCAAGGAATTTTGGTTTTGATCTGTTCCTGTTTTTCTTTACAAAATACTTCCTAGAAAACTGCCCTACTCATAGTTTCCAAAAGCATTTGGTTGCATTCAACTGGTGGCTTTGAGGCTGATGAACATCACAGTCAAAGAACACGATCTCTGCTCAAAGCAAAGCGGCAAAGCAACAGGCGTTGTTGCCACACGGTTTGTTTTCCTAATTTTCTTCCCCGTCACCTGACGTATCCCCATGTCACAACCGAAGTAAACGACAGTAACTGCACCACCCACGGAGTGTTCACTTTCTTGCCGCTAAAAAAAAACAGGAACAACAGTTCTTTGGGTTCATCCCCCAAGGGTTCAAATATTTAGTTGCTCCCAACGACAGGGCTTCACCTCTACTTGGAAAAAACAGCAAGCGAAGCTACATGAATCATAGTCACAGTAAGAGAAAATGCTGTATCATTAAGCAATGCATTTGTTGTCCCCAAGCACCATTACTTGAACCAGTAAAACCCAACTCGTTTCCCTACAAAAGTTTTCAATCACAACCACTACACAAGCCCGCCGCTTTATATAAAGCAATCTTCAAAACCAAACTCCCTTTTTGGGCCCCAGTGGACTTTCCAAACTGAATTTGTGAAATAGCCCCGAAGTCAATGTAAATGCTAGCTTGTAACATTTCCAAACGCCGCCACTGTGTCAAAATGCAATGTTGTCCATTTCTGGGCCCCTGCAACACCAATTATATGTAACTACCATGCGCCAGTACCCACAACTACACACGCTCATTATGTTTACATTTCCTAAATTTATCTTGCCCACTCATGGGTTTGAATTCGTAAGTTACAAAACCATTGTGGGCCTTTTTTTTTTCATCCGCTCGACGCAATCAGTATGTGTCAGGCAATAGCATGGCGCGGGTCAAAGTGGAAAGAAACTAGAAAGGAAGCTAAAAGCCAGACGCAGAGCAAACGCAAACAATGCCATTGGTGGGCTTTGTAGTCTTTCACCAACCATACCTTCAGACGCACGGGGCAAAGTGGAGTGGAAGCAGCGCGCGTAGAGCAACAACACGCTGCAAGGCCTACTAGAGACCACTCTGCGCCAAATAATCCAGCACTAATCATTCAAGCAGTAGCATGCTGCCAGGCGTGCAACAGAACAACTCAAGGGCTGGTTAAACCACTTCCCGCAGGCATCCCGCGAGCATATGCTGCCACAAGGGCGCCCCATATAAGACTTCGAGGGTTATAATTGTTCATGGGTAGTCTGCTCCCCTGACTTGATTGAGTTCTCTATAACACTTTTGTAGGTAATTGAGAAAGACCACAATATCCTCAATAGCAGCCAGGAGGTCTCTGGAATATTTAGGTACTTCCCATAACACCGTACGGAATCCTCCCTGCCCAACCGTGTAATCGTGGGGGACAAAATGGCCTATTTGTATGGGATCCTGATCATGGAGCACCAATTCCGGGTACCGGACTGCAACAATGGCTTTATACGTCAAATAGGGACACTCTGGAGCTGTTGGGCAGTATGATGCCCCATCGATGTGGACCATCCAGGCCGGCTGCTTCAATCGTGGTTGTACACTCAGGGATGCCAAATTCTTCTGGTGCAGTTGCAATGAGCAAGACAGCCAGTATCGCAGAAATCAAGCAACTCTGAACATTCAGGTGGCTAAGCGTTTCCTCACTGAAAAGGCGCGCCAAGGAGATTGGTAACTGTTGGGCAGTTGTCGCCGTTACCCAAGTCCCTGTGTGCGGTGCTTGTCCGAGGTTGAGTAGCCGCGCCACTTCCGAATCGTTGTCCTGGCTTGCATCCGGCC